GGATGGGGTGGGGAGTGCGGCTCCAAGTCTCGGTGTCTGTTGGAGGTGGCTGGCGGGGACCGAGGTCCGAGAGAGGGGCCTTTTAAGGTATTTCCCTTAGTTTTCAACAGGGTGGGGGTAAAGAGGGGGAGGGGGATGCAGTTCAATTACCCTGCAGGCCGCACAGAGCCCTGGTTGGCCCGATTTGTGCAGTTTAGAAAAAAGTAGGGATGGGGCCACAGTTACAGGACCTGAGGTCAGAGGGGATAGGTAGAGGAAGTGTGGATTAGGGGCTAAAGAGCCCCAGGTCAAGGTCACGCTGGGCCTGGAACCTCCTGAACTGCCATCCTACTCTCTTTATTGGCCAGGTCCCACTTTGGTCCTCAGTTTCCCCATCAGTGTTTCCTGGCTGGTCTTGGTGGGAGAGGAAAACTGAGGCAAGAAGACCCGAGGGATTGCTGGGTCCTGGTTGGCCAGGCTGGCTGGACCCCTGCTGCATCCTTTGAGGCCAGGACAGAGGAATGATGGGTCAGCTGGTGGTGGCTTGTGGAAGTAAGAGGGGGATGGATTATGAAGGATTATTTGGGAAGGAAATTATTCTGTCAGATGGGCTTAACTCTCTGGAGGTGGAAATGCTTGGCTTTAACCTCTCATATGCAGCCAATCTCTGCACTGTGCCTATTATTGCTTATATCCCTCCTGCCCTCTCACCCCTATTTTTGCTGTTAACACTTGATCTTTCCAGGAAGGAGTTCAGTGAATGCAAAGAGGAGGGAGGATGCTTCCGAAAGGAGCACTAAACAGTTGAGGCCCAGGTTCTGGTGCCTCTCATGCTCTACTGCTCATTAGCTGGGTGGCCTTGGGCAAGTCGTGTCACCTCTCTGAGCCTCCTTTTTATCCTCAAGGATATGGGAATAAGAAAAGGTTGTTATGAGGATGAGTTGGGATAATGTGTGGGAAGTGCCCAGCACAGTGACTGACACATGGTAGGTGCTCAGAAACATAGCAATTGATTGTTACCAATTGGTAGCTCCGAGGGCCAAGTGTTACCTCGTAGAAGGATGCTGATGGAACAGGCAGGTCAGCGAGTGAATCCATTTGCTCCTGGGTGACCTTGCTCAAGCAACATACACAGCCTTGCAGGGGGCATCTCTCCACCTGTAAACTCCGGGTTGGAGTGCTCTCCTAGCGGAGGTGAAAAGGGCCTGGTTCACAGTGGGCACATCTGTACTGTTTCTGCCCTTTCCTTGTCTTCCACCTTTCTGACTCCCTCAGCCTTTTCTTCTCCAGGTTGAGAGTGAGTTTCTGCGTTTCCCTCCATCTGCCTCCTTGTTCTCTTCATCCAGAGCAGACTTTTTCCATCCTTAACCCCAGAACCTTCCAGTGTTCTTGCTTCTCCCCACTCCACCCCGTCCCAATCTTCCTTCCTGCACCTGTATCTTTCTTTTAATAACAACGAACATTTGTACAGTGCCCCAGGCCTTAGAAAGCACTTCAGCACATTATCTGATTTTATTCTTTTAATTCCATCAGAGCATAAAATAGGCCGAAAAATCCTGTTGTTTTACAAATAAGGAAGCCAAGGCACCCAAAGGTTGAATGACTTTCCTAACGCCTCACAGTGCAATTCCTCACTTATTTCTGTTTCTGGGCCTTTGTGCTTCCTCTTAACTATCCCTCCTTCTTGCCTACCAGCAGACATTTCTTGATCCTCACCTGTCCCTCCCCCTTTGCCTTCCTTCTCCTGCAGCAGCAGATACTGTTAGAGAGAATAAGTGGATAAATGTTCTCGCAGCGAAGGGTCTGAGGGCCAATGGGGGGGACCCAGAGACTCAGAGCAGTGTGACAGAAGGTGGCCTTTTGTATAGCTGCCTCCTGTGTGGAAACAGAGGGGTGCTAAAGTTGACTTCTGGGGGTGTGCCTGCCTGCCAATTCTGGCATGTGCTGGGGGCTCAGGATACACCAGGCTGCAGCAGCCCTGCTCTACTCAGTCAAGGCCAACCACGAGAGGGAGAGGTGGACTGGCAGGGCCGTGGCTGGATGGACAGATGGGGTTTGCTATAGGATTTTCCTTTGTAGGAAATGGGACCCACTGGTGGTGTGAACCCCACCCAGCTGGCAAGTCTCCCCGTAAACCACAGCAGCTCTTACTGTTGCCCTGCCTTTTCCTCTTGCTGGGAAGGGCAGCATGAGCCCCAGAGCACACAGTAGAGCTCTGTCCTCCGGGTGTTATAACCAGGTCAACTTGGAGGTCCTCTCATCCATCCCCCTACCTCAACACGGAACTCATTTAACAAATGGTTACTGAGCATTTAACATGTGCCAGACACTGTTCTAGGTGCGCAAGATAGATAAGGCCTTTGCCCTCATGGGGCTGACATTCTAATCGGGGAGACAGACAACGTATTGGCAAATAAGTCATGTAAGGAAATGAGTTAGAGCAGTGGGTGAGAGAGGGATTAGGCTCTGGTGGCCTAGGAAAACTTCTCAGAGGAAGTATTGTGTAAGATGAGACCCAACTGATGTTCCTTGATGATCTGAGAGATGAAAAGAGCGAATGCAAAGGCCCTGAGGTGATACGAGCTTTTCAGGCTTGAAAGAAGGCCGCATGGTGGAGAGTAGTGAGCCCTGGAGGGTTTTTGAGCATGAAAGACATGATCTGATCTCCACTTTGAGAAAGCCACTCTGGCCTTGAGGAGGGAGTGGGAGATGGGCCAAGATGCCACTGATGTGGCCCAGGTGAGAGAGGCTGGTGGATTAGTCCATGGCACTTGCAGGAAAGACTGTGAGAAGGGGCCAGGTCTGGGATGCATTCTGGGGTAGAGCCCAGAGCCTGGCTGATGGATGGGATGTTGGGTGTGAGAAAGAGAATGGGCTCAAGGATGACTCCTAGGTTCTTGGCCCTCATAACTGGGTGCACGTGGTTCCATTTACTGTACTGAGATAGATGAAGTGTGTGAGAAATTTCTAGGAAGAAGGTGCCAGGATTTCTGCTTTGCTTGGTCTCTTATTTCACAGTTCTCCCACACACTGGGGATTTCTTGCGGAGGTTGATTCCTCTCCTGTCCGCTTAAATTCATTCCACTCTGGACACCCCTCCAGCAAGTGGCTGGTTCTGGATGTCTTCATTTCCCGCCTTCCAGACTATTCTTGCAGCATGAACCCATCACTCAGAGAGGGGCTGTATTATTTATGTGTAACAATACAATGTAACAAAGTACCCCCAAATTTAATAACTTAAAGCAGCAACAGACATTTATTATCTCATACAATTCCTGTGGGTCAGAAATTTAGGAGTGGCTTAGCTGGGGTTTCTGGCCTGGAGTCTCTCAAGGAGTAGCAGTCAAGATGTCAGCTGGGCTGCAGTCATCTGAAAGCCTGACTGGGGCTGGAGGACCTGCTTTCAGAGTGGTTCATTCATGTGGCTGGCAAGTCGGGGCTGGCTGTTTTCAGGAGGTCTCAGCTTCTTGACACATGGACGTCTCCATAGGGCTGCTTGAGGGTCCTCATGACATGGCAGCTGGCTTCCTCAGAGTGGGTGATTCAAGAAAGAGCAAGGCGGAAGCCACAATCTCTTCTATATACTAGCCTTGGAAGACAAACTGTTACTTCCACAGTATCCTATTGGTTACACAGCTCATCCCCACTGAGAGTGGGAGGGGCCCGTACGAGGACATACATAGCTGGAGGCAAGAATCAATGGGTGCCATCTTGGAGGCTGACGCCCGTAGATGCCCAGCAAGAGGGCTATGCTGACCTGGCTCCTGGGAGGCCGCAGGAGTGGGAATCAGGCATAGCTGGATTTAAACTCTACCCCTGCTGCCCTCCAGCTGTGTGAGCTAGGCTGTAGAGGATGAATTGCACATTGGCATATACTAGGCACCTTTCTCCTTTTTGGAACCACAGGCGAGGACTGGAAAGGAGCCCAGATATTCTGTGCCCGGTTCCTTGCCACTTGGACGTGCTTGAGAGAAAATGCTCAGTGCTGGTAGAGGAGGGGCCTCCGTTCTCAGCTCAGAGTAGATGTTACATATATGGTTATTACACAAATAAGGGCACTGAGGTATAGTGCATCCTCAGCTTCTAGAACAGTGTCTGGCCCATAGTAGGGGTTCCAATGAAGGAGGAAAAAAGGGGAATAAAGGAATGCTGAGAAACAAGAGGTTCCTATTTAGGGAGCGGCTGGGCAGGGGGCAAATGAGAGCTGCAGGAAAGAAGGAACAGTGAAACCATTTTCTAGTTGGGGTATAACTCACATACTGTCAAGTAAACAAATTGATACATTGGTATGTATATGAACCAGATGAAAATCTAGGACATTTCCAGCACCCCAGAAGCAGCTCATATGCTCCCCTCCAATCCATATCCCCCAAAGGTAACTGCTATTCTTACTTGTACCATCAGAGATTAATTTTACCTGTATTTGAATTTCATATAAATTGAATCATACAACATGTTTACTCTTGCGTCTGGCTTGTTTCACTCGACATTATGTCCTGGAGGCTCATCTGTGTTCCTGCGGGTTGCAATGGTTCATTCTTTTTTATTGCTATGTTGTATTCCCTGGGTTGACTCAACCACAATGTATTTACCCATTCCACTGTTGATTGCCATTTGGGCTATTTCTAGTTTTGGGCTATTACGAACAGACCTGCTCTAAATATTGAATCACCCTTGTCTACACAGAACTTTGTAATACACAAAAGGTTCCCGCTGCTCTTCTCAGTTCTGTGA